TTTCCCCTCCAGAGTACATCTTGCAAAAGTATGCGACATCATGCATGTACTTCTTGCAGGATGGTGAGCTGTGTTCAACAGCAATGATTGCCTCATCCATCTTCATGCCTGCTTGGTAAAGATCTGCAAGTTGCATCATAGCTTCCAATTCATTGGATGTAATCTGGTTGGTGTTGTGGCTGTTCATTGCCATAGCTGCAAATGCAGGAAGCTGTGGCCACAGCTTTTCAGCCTCACTAGAAATGATTCTCCACTGCCAGCCTTCTCTGAGCAATGGCTTCATGTCAGGGGTCACAGTGAGAGGGTTTCCATCAGGCCCTTTGCAGCCATTGTCCATGGCCCTGGCCCATTGAACGAAATGGGAGTTGGCAAGTGTCAAGAAACGCTCATGACCAGTAACAGGAGCAAGAAGGCCATTGGAGTCAGAGACCATCTTCATGTTCAACTTAAACTGGTTCTCTTTCACTTTGGAATCAATGGCAACCTCAACTGCCAAGGAGTTGGGTGGAAGCAGCTCTGCCTTCACCCCTGCTTCCAAAATGTCATGCCCTTTCTTGTGCGCATTGAAGGCATTGACCATGGAGGATCCTCTGTTTTGAGGATGGCGCAGAAAAGCTCCAGGAGCAAGGCAGCTACTGTAAACCAGGCCAGCTCCTTCCAAAGTAGTCAAGACCTTTTGCAGCCTGATGTTGATGCCCAAAGTGCAAGTAGGGCTCAGCAAGCCACTGATCTCTTTTATGGTTTCAGGAGCAATGGACATGGCTGCAAAGAACTACAACAAGGATGAAGTCAGAGAAGCTGTGTTGTTTTGTGGTGCTGCTGTTTACACATGTGGTTCATTATGGCTGTTGGAAATCTATTCCCCACTGTCAAGCTTCAAGCTTGAGAAAACTTGTGGATAATACAAAAGCAAGGGGAAACTTTTCCTCTGCAGTTGAAAAAGAATGCAAAAGCCCTGAAAGGCAAACAACACCCCATCATGCCCAGTAACAAATTGCTGAGGCCTTGGGCTAAAATTTGAAACCACAGCCCTTGCAGGCAAATCAAAAGACACATGCTTCAATGCCAGCAGGTGGTGGTTGGCCATCATGCATTCATGTAAAAACCATTCACAGAAGCTTAAACTGCCATCATTTTTGACCCAGCAGGCTGATGCTCCAGCTTCAAAGTTGCAACTACTCTGACATCTCTGACTCTTCAGCAGCTTCAGGCATCTTGTTGCCCTTCTTGTAAGACCTTTTGGCTTTGCCAGTGTCTTTGCAATCACTTTTCAGAAGGTCGAAGATACAGCTCAGCTGATTTTCTTCCATCAAGACCAAGAGGTCTGCTGATGCAGATCTCTTCCCAGGGCACAGGATGGATACATCTGTGGAGCCAATTCTGATCTCAACCACCTGTTCAGTCTTGAGCTTCTTCTTGTCCCCACTCATGAGCTTCTGGTTCCTCTTCTGCTTCAATTCCTTGAAAGTAGTGGAGTTCGAGAATGAGTGGCCTTTCAAAGTGCACCCACAAATCAATCTGCTGATCAAAGGGGAGCTGCCTTGGATCTTCAAGTAGTTGTTGTCATTGATGTCCTGCAATGTTTCAGCTATCAATGAACCACATGCAATGCCATACACCAGCCAAAACCAACATGTGTTGCTTCAAAGAAAGCATTTAGCCAGGAACAAACAAATCAGTCCTGGACAATGAAGTGGGGTGGTATGGCAATAGGCTTTGCACCATTGAAGGACAAAGCAAAAGTAGGAGTGATCTCCACCATTGCAGCTGGAACTTCTGCCATGCTACTGCAAATTATTTTTGGGCCAACAATCCCTAAGTTGTAAACAGCTAATGCATGGTGTCCAGACCATTCAACTGGCAAAATCATTCACCAGCTGGCCTATAGATTCTGAAAATGGTGTGGTTTTCCTCCAAAGGAAATCACCAAGTGCTTCAATCAAAACAAATTGCAGCACCAAGTGCTTTTGAAAAACAAAATTGACAATAGCATGTTCGCAATAATCTCACACATGCCCCCAATCAAACCATATTGTGTTTGCTGCTGTTTCTTACTTGTTGCTGCCAGCTTTTGATCTTCACAGAGCACTATTTATTTTTTGCTTTGTATCTTTTTTCTAAAGAAAAAACACTTTTCTCTTTGTGCAAATGTTGTTTTTCTCATAACAACAAAATCTAAATCATTACAATGTAATTGTGTAAATCATTGGTCAAAAATTAGCTAACAGTTACTAACTTTGCTAGCTCTTTAAGTAAAATAACATAATTAGTTAATTTTTGGTAAGAGATAGTAATTCTTATAAGTTTGGCAATACATTATAACTAGTTAACAAGTAGTTACCAAGAGTTTACCATATAGTTAACAATGCATTACTAACTACCTTAAAACCTATAACCTGTTAGCAACACCCCAGCCCATCTAAGTGTGTCTTTGTAGTTGCGTTTGCGGTTATGTGTTTGCGGTTGTGCGTTGCGGTCGTGTGCTGTGGTTGTGCGTTGCGGTTGTGTGTTGTGGTTGTGTGCTGTGGTTGCGCGTTGTGGTTGTGTTGTGCATGTGTCTTTGTGGTTGCGCGCTTGTCATTGTGTCTTTGTAGTTGTGTTTGTGGCGGTGTGTTTGTGGTTGTGCGTTGTGGTTGTGTGCTGTAGTTGTGCGTTATGGTTGTGTGTTGTGGTTGTGCGCTGTGCTTGTGCGATGTGGTTGTGTGCTGTGGATGTGTCTGTCGTTTGCGATTGTGTCTTTGTAGTTGTGTTTGCGGTGATGTGTTTGCGGTTGTGTGTTGTGGTTGCGCGCTGTGGTTGTGCGTCGTGGTTGTGTGTTGCGGCTGTGTCCTGTGGATGTGTCTTTGTGGTTGCATGTTGTGGTTGAGGTCCGGCGGGGAACACTGCCGTCCCAAGCTGGCGGTGGAGGTCCGACGGAAAACGCTGCCGTCGGGAGCTGGCGGTTGGTCCGCGGGGAACACTGCCGTCGGGAGCTGGCGGTTGCAACTGAGGTCTGGCGGAGAACACTGCCGTCGGGAGCTGGCGGTTGAGGTCCGTCGGAGAACGTTGCCATCTGCCACTTGCTGTTGAAGCGAGGCGGAGGCGGAGGAGGAGGAGGCTCCTCCCTCTCACCCTCACTCTCACTCACTCACACACGCTCACACTCACACTCACTCTTCACTCACACTCACATTCACACTCACTCTCCCTCTCACTCACTCACACTCACACGCACACGCACACTCACACTCACTCACCACCGCCGCCGCCGTCGCCATGATCCCCACCTTCGTCGCCGCCATCACCTCTCTGGACCCCAATGCGTCTAGATCTCTAGACTCTAGACTTTCTGCTTGAAGACCTCACACACACACGCACACTGTTTGGGGTCTCTTGCAGGATAATTTTAACAATCCGCGGTGTAAAAAATGTGTTTGTTTCTCTTTCCAGGGGGTGCCTTCTCTAACCACTCGCGCGATCAAAACGGCCAAAACACTGTCTTTGTTTTAGACATTTTTTCGCGGAGCGACCACTTGCGTGGTCGTGGTGACGGTGGCGGTGGTGGTGAGTGAGTGTGAGTGAGAGTGAGAGTGAGAGTGAGTGTGGGGGGGTGAAAGTGAGAGTGTGAGGGAGTGTGAGTGTGAGCGAGAGTGGGAGAGTGAGAGTGTGAGGGAGCGTGCGTGTGAGTGAGAGAGGGAGTGTGTGAGTGTGAGCGCGAGTGTGAGTGAGAATGAGTGTGAGTGAGAGCGAGCGTGGGTGAGAGCGAGTGTGAGCGAGAGTGAGAGCGAGTGTGAGTGAGAGCGAAGGTGAGTGAGTGTGGGTGGGAGTGAGAGTGAGTGCGAGTGAGAGTGAGAGTGGGAGAGTGAGTGAGAATGAGAGTAGAAGAGTGAGGGTGAGTGAGAGTGAGAGTGAGAGCGTGAGAGTGAGCATCTAAAAGCAGAAAGTGCTGTGTGTGCCATGAAATCTGCACTTCGAGCTTCGCAAAGTACTGCGCCTGCTTCGATTCGAGCTTCACCAAGTGCTGCGCATGCTACGAAATCTACACTTCGAGGTTCACCAAGTGCTGTGCCTGCCACGAAATCTGCACTTCGAGGTTCACCAAGTGCTGCGCCTGCCGCGAAATCTGAACTTCGAGGTTCAGCAAGTGCTGTGCCTGCTACGAAATCTGCACTTGTTCACCAAGTGCTGCGCCTGCCACGAAATCTGCACTTCGAGGTTCACCAAGCGCTGTGCCTGCCACGAAATCTGCGCGTCCAGGTTCGCCAAGTGCTGTGCCTGCCACGAAATCTGAACCTCGAGGTTCAGCAAGTGCTGTGCCTGCCACGAAAACTTCACTTGTTCACCAAGTGCTGCGCCTGCCACGAAATCTGCACTTCGAGGTTCACCAAGTGCTGTGCCTGCCACGAAATCTGCAAACGAGCCACATGTCCAAAAGCCACGATTCACTGCACCTGTCACGAAATCTGAGCTCCTCGACGATCACCACCATGTCCAAAGTGCTGCGCCTGCCACGAAAACTGCATCCTTGCACCTGTCACGAAAAGTCGACTTTGGAGCACCAAAACACGAGGTTTCCCTTGCGCCTGCCACGAAAAGTGATCACCAGGTGCGAAAATGCGCACGGCGCCACAGTCACAACGAGAATGCAGTCGTTAGAAGCACCCGCCGCAGACACCCAGATTCTGCGAGCCTGTGCAGTCGAAGTGCACATGGACGATGTCGAGACCATGAATGTACTGTAAATAGCAACGAATTTGCCGGACACGGCCGCGCGGAACAGCGATCTAAGCACATTTGCTTTTCACCTACCGTAAGAACCCCCTCAGTGTGCCCACGCTGTTTGGGGAAAAATCGTTTTTTCACTTTTACCGTTTTTACCGTGCAGATGCATCGGGGGAACCCCGTAGCTCGAGCAACGCCGCTAAGCCAGCACGGGGGACAAGAAAAACACAATTTTCATGTGGTTCGGCTCCCTCAAAACTTTGTGCACGCAGCGCACGGTTGAGACTCTCTGCCTGAAGGACCTTGCCGACCGCCATGTGGATCAAGACATTTGGAGAGCAAATGGGGCATTGAACGGCTAGAACTGTCCGCTACTTGAGCGTGGTGCTTGCCGCTTAAGGAATGGGACTTACACCAAAGCCTGGCTCGACTGACATATTTTGTGCAGGCGAGACGTGGTTGGAAACAGATGTAAGATGTCTAAGATGTCGCAACAGCAGCATGTAGTTGAGACTGGCGCGCACTGGCACCGTCAGTAGTTTTTCTTGGGAGCAGGCTGACAGCTTCTCCCGACAATCCTTGTGGTTGTGCAGCGGTCCAGCTGTGCTTTGTGCACCGCCCCCGGGTCTCGTTAGTGAAAGAAGGGCTAGTCGCCCCGGCATGCGACAAGTTGTGCTGTAAAAGGTTTATGATGGGGTGTTGATTCAATGCCAATACAATGCCAACACCAAGAAATGCATCGGATTTCACGTTGTCGCTCGACGAGCCTTGAATCCAGGCAATGTTGCACATCGTTGCGCCTTCGAAACACATGATTATGTGGCACTGCCGGAGCCGCAGGGGAGTTTGTATTCGATGGCTTCCAGTATCTCGCAAGACTTGTGCTGGTCGAAGGACGATGTAATTAGGCAATGATACCCATTCAGCGTTTCCTTTTGCAATTCAAGTCGTACGGCGCCTGTTGGAGGAACCCCTAGATTAGATTCTATGTGTTTTCACTGTTCGTTAGCATCCCCTGTGCCTTCGCCAAATGTCGCGCAGCCTTTTGTGTGAAAGTATTTTTCTATCATGCCCGCCCTCATGCCCAGCATCATTTCCATTGTTTGTTGCGCTTATGGGAAATATATTGCCCGAGGGCCTACACTCGTCGTATATATATATATATACACATATGTTTATATGTACACAATGTACACACACATGTGGTCAATAACTGCAAATTCTTTCTATGCACCCTCAAGTGGATGCTTTGCTGGGGAGCTGTCTAGGAGAGGGCTTCCACTTTTGTTTCGCTCTCCGGCTCCCTTTCGTGTCCGACGCAGTATCACCTATGAGTTCTCCTCCCTGCATTCTCCTTGGCCTGTGGCTCTTTTGGATTTGCCTTCGGCCCTTTCGTCCTGTCTTGTGTTTGGTGTATGCTGAGCAAGTGCCTCCCTCTCACTCTATTATTGCTGCATAAAAGGCCGCAAAGGTGGGAGTGTCCTGGAGGAGAGGAATCGTCAAGACTGCGCGTAGCCAAGCTTTCCTTCTGCCCCGTGGCTTCAAATTCATTGCGCAGCCGTGAGGCACTGGTCTTTTTCAGAGCATTTTGTGCCCCCAAAGGCCTTGAGAATCCATCAGAAAGCTTGACAAGGCATATACATTGATGCATTGCGCAGAGAAGTGAGAGGCGCAAAAGGAAGAGGACATTTGAGCTGACTGAGTTTTGATGCTCTAGGTCACGACGGGCTCAAAGGGAAGCAGATTGAAAGTGCAGCGAAGCGTATCAGAATAAAAGTGGGCATCCGACGCAAAAGTACCATGAACATTGTGAGATCAAGAACGCTCACCTAGTTGTCAAGGTCCAGCTTGGGCATAGGCCAAATCTCCTGACAGCAATGAACGATGGAAGGATAAGCTTGAAAGCAGGCACAAACAGTGCAGTCTTTAAACGTCCTGGGTGACCGTCTGAGTCTTCGCAGTCATTCAAGTGACTGTACCGTCAATCTTCACTGTAAGCTGTGTAAGATGCACGAGATCTACACAATTGGGGTTTAAGCCAAGCCTCATCGTCTCAGTTCTTTCATGGGAGGGCATATTGGGGCAGCGCTGAGGCAGACATCTTCTAGATGGCTTGGGTGCGCAGAGCAACTCCACTATGACGGCTTTATTGGGTATCTTGCGCATCATGATGTCGTCAAGGCCAACGCCTCTTCGGGCGTACGCTGTGTTTAGCTTTTTGCCGGGTGATGGGCGCGTGACGCAGTCTAACATGCGTGATGTGAAGGGCGAAGTGTGCTGAACTCATACAATTGGTTTCGCCTACAGCCCGAGAACCGTAGTCGCATTTTATTGTTTCTTCGACATTCATGTGTTTGATTCCCGGGTAAAGAACGATATCATTATATAAATATAGTTAAATAAAAATATATGGTCTCCCGCCCCCGGGATTAAAGAGTAGGTCACCGTTTATATTCTGTTCCGTAGTGTTTCGGCTTCAAGGGTGGATATCCTCTTGTCGAGGGTGCAACTCTCGACTTCGTCTGACACCCGGAAGCTCGGGGTACTGTAATCCCTGCTATTTGTGCGTGAGGCTTCAGCAGTTGGTCTTCACGCGTGTACCGGTGGCCTCCTCTCAAGAGCTCTTCACCTACCTCCGGCGTGTGGTGGACACGGTCGAGTCAGCCTGCGAGAGATTCGAGAGTGATCGAACGGCAGGGTTGGTGACAGTTGACGGGGAGCCTATCCCTGGCAAGGGACGTGAATCGGGGCAAGATCCCTTTGTCAAAGGTATCCATCCGGGAGACGTTGACACTACAGCTGGATCTGCTCGAGTGCCTGTGAAGAAGGAGTCGGAGGCCGAGAAGGACCAGAAGAAGGAACCGGTTGTGGACGCGAAGGCGAGCAAGGACAAGTCCCACCACCGTAGACACCGATCTCGTACCAGGTCAAGGCGTGAGAGGACCCGATCGAGGAGAAGAAGGTCGAAAGAGGACACACCGAAGTCTCGGGGAAAAAGCCCTGGCAATACAGAGGTGGAATCCGAGGCGGCCAAGTCCAGAGGGGAAGTGGTTGGAGGCACTCCGGAGGAGGAGCCAGTCGAGGCAGACGAGCCTCAGCCAGAAGTCAACGACGACGAAGAGTCAGACAAGAAGTACAAGCTCAGCAGGACAGCAAAGCCATCGGCTAGGAAGCCGTTACCCAGGAGACCAAGGACACCTTCGCACTCCCCTCCAGGTTACTACGAGGAGGACAGCCGAAGAGCACCGAGGTGGAAGGGTTACAAACACGTCCTTCGAGGGCAATACTATTCGAACCGCGGCTCAGGCCGCGGGAAGGGGAAAGGCAAGGGATGGCAAAGTAGCTCGCCGCCCAGCCGCAGAGCCTCGGCGAAGAGGAGTGTTGAGGCGACCAGCGTTGGCAGAGGATGCAAGACGGGGGGACAGCCCTGTGGTGCAGCTGGACGTGGCCATTGGGACCATGGTTCACGGCCTGAAGGCCAAGTACTACGACAATCCCTGTCAGTTCACGGGGAAGGTCATCGAGGAGTACAAGGACATCTCAGGCCGCTATTTGATGCTCAGGCTCACCGGCACCAACTTAGAGAGCCTGCTGACGTGGGCCACCGGAGGACATCAACTCGCGAAGGTACACATGTGCACAGCCGAGTGCAACCAAGAAGCTGTTGGCCCATGCCTTCTACATTGTCAGGAGGCACGGACCATCGGAGGACTTCACGAAGTTGCCGACCTGCCATGGAGGGATGTGCTGGTCAGCGCGGTCGACCGGGGCAGCGACGAACTGGCAGGCCTTCGGGGACGGATGGAGGATCTCCCGGACCCTGTCGCAGGAGGCGTTCACCCAGGCGAGGTCAAAGCCGCGGACGGAAAGGGCACCACGAAGGAGGTCGACAAGAAGAAGAAGAAAAAGAAAGAGAGAAGAAGGCGCAGGAGTTCAGGAAGCTCGGAAAAGAAGAGAAAGAGAAGAGATCGCAGTCCAGGGAGCCGATCCAGAGGAAGAGAAAAGCAGAAAGTCAGGCGAAAGGAGAAGGTGGATGCAGGCGGGGGAGAAAGCCCTGTGAAGAGTTCAACAAGCCGCAGCACAAGCGAGGAGAAGAATTTCGTGATGGTGGACCAGAAAACTATGTTCGGGCGAAGCGGCCTGGATCCTTCTCGCAAAGTCAGAAATCGCGTGAAGAGGAAGGCCCAGAAGTATGCACAGAAGAAGGGGAGGAGCAAATCAGACAGCAGCAGCGGCAGCGAGGCTCCTCAGAAGGGAGAGTCAATATTTGGAGAGCCTCACAAGATCGGGGTGAGCTTCCCTGGTGTGCTTTCCGCAGCGGCGATCGAGGACATGCAGGAGTTGATGCTGCTAGAAGCCGGACAGGAAACAGTCCAGCCCGAAGGCTGGGTTCCTACTTTGCTGAGGTACTACCGCCAGATGCTCAGCCGGCGAGTTTCTGGCCCTATGTCGAGGGAACTGCGTACGCTTTGCACAGTGTGCGATCAAATTCTTCGCGGCCAGTTGCCCTCTGCCCTCGACACGTTGATCCAGAGGGTGAAGTCGTTGGAAGCCCAGATCGGCGGGCTCAATTGGGCCTCCGCTCACCGACTCGAGCTTTTGCCCAGCGATACGGCTACACTATCCACGAGGCAGGAACTTCGGATCGCCACGACGGAGCACAAGGCGGAGTCGCAGGCGCATCAGACATCGACTTGGTGGTCAAAGGGGAGCGGAAAGAACGCTCACAAGGGCGAGAAAGTGGACAAGGGAAAAGGCAAAGGCAAGAAGGGCAAAGACAAGCAGAAAAAGGAGACATGAGGAGGCATGAAGCGGGGTTGAACAGCCCTGAGAAGAGAGTCAGAGCATCGAGTATGACCCCGACGTCGGGAGCGGGGGAGGTCGACCCTGATGGTCACACGGTTCAACGAGGCTGGAGGCCTTGTGGAAGTTCGCACTACGATTCTATGGCTGGTGGCGCCACTTTGAAGGGGCTGCCGAGGGAAGACATCCCATTCCCTCCTCCGCCGGCTATCACTTTTCCTACGGGCACTTCGAAGGGCAGAACGCACGGAAATGTTGCGATCGAGCCCGTGTCAACAAAGCGGGGCCGGACCCCCTGATCCGAGATGGTTCCGAAAAGGCAGGTGCTCTCGCTGATGTTTGCGGTTTACAGATTTGGGAGATGGGGACGGCTGTTTTGGGTGGATTGCAGGGGGTTTTGAAGCTCTGCAGCCAGACCACGGATGGGGGTTCTGATCAGGGCCAAGAAGTCAGGGGCCGTGATACTTTCCCTCTTCCAACCTCCCGCGATCTACTTTCACCTTTTGCCAAAGACCGTCAGTTGTGGTGTACAGATTGGTTGATGGCCGTTTGCACTGCTTTGAATTCATTGTGGGGGTGCCAACCCAAAAATCGTCAGGAAGAAGATGGCGTTCATCAACTTCAGCCAGTTACTACGATGCAGGCGCGGGTCATTCGTGGCCTGTTGGACGACGTCGCTCGGATGAAGGACATTCGGGAGACGACGGCGGGGTTTGAGTGGGAGGAGTTCTTTCGTACACGGACTATTGATTATAGGTCAAAACTGCCTTGAAATTCAGTTGGTCAAACATCAAGCCCGCCTTACCCCAGGAGATAGGAGTAGCTCAGCTTACTGACATTTGTGAGCAGGGTTGCCGCTACTACATCGAGAATTTCCCTTCGTTCCTGAAGGCTCCCTCAGAGCGGGGACCGTTCAAGCGTGCTCGCGTGATGGTGCGGGATGCTGACTGGGAGGACGTAGCTATAGAGGGTTGATCCAGGCAGGAGTTTTCGGGGTGGTCCCTGAGTCGGAGGTTTTTCGAGTAGGCTCCCATTTATTGCTCAATGGGCTCTTTGGAGTTGAGAAAAACGAAGAGGCTGATGGGATTCCTATTTACAGACTCATCATGAATCTCGTGCCGCTCAACGAGCTGTGCCAACCCATGGCCGGGGACATTGGTTTGGGATGTCCCCTTTTCATATTGAAGCCGGGGAAAATCTGGTAATTTCCAGCGAAGACTTGCGGTGCTTTTTCTATACCCTGGGTCTGCCTCCCTGCTGGTTTCCCTTTTTTGTGCTTCAACAAAGCTCTGCCTGCCAGCCTGGTGCCAGAACAATTCGCAGGACAGGTCTGCTACCCATGTTCGAAGGTCTTGCCGATGGGGTTTTTGAACAGTGTCGGAATCGCACAGCGCGTTCACAGGGTTCTGGTCCATCGATCACTGGCGCACAGCCGCACACAGAGCGCGCAACACAATGAGATTAGAAAAGACAAAGTACTGCCGGACGCACGGACATGCTGGAGAGTGTATCTCGACAACTATGATCTTCTCGAAAAGTTCCCTCACGAGCTGTTGGAGGTTTCAGCGGGGGAAGTGGCCCCTGAGGTGGAGGCCCTCCGCGAGGAATACAAATCTTGGGGGCTCCCACGCCACCTGGGAAAGGCAGTCTCCCGGCAGGCGGTTGCCGAGGTACAAGGTGCCGTGGTGGACGGGGTGCGGGGGCTAGCGTACCCTAAGAGTCAAAAGCTGTCCAAGTATGTCACCATGGCCTACAAGCTGATGCAGGAAAGCCGAGCCACCCAACGTCAAATGCAGGTAGTATGTGGGGGGCTGGTCTACTTCGCCACTTTCCGAAGACAGTTGCTCGGGGGCCTGAACCAGTGTTGGAGGTACATCGAATCATTCAACCACGCGGGGCGCCATTCCCTGCCGTTGCCTGAGTCCGTGAAGTTGGAAATCTACAGGTTTTTGTGCTTGATACCTCTTTGCCGGCTGAACTTCCGCCTTGAGTTGAACCCTACCGTGACCTGCTCGGATGCTTCGGAACATGGAGGCGGTGTGTGCGTGGCCACGAGCTTGACCGCGTTTGGACGACAGGTGGCAAACGGGGCTGGGCCCTGTGAGATGCAGGGATCACGAGGAGGCCGTGTACTTAGCGTAGGGCTCTTCGATGGAATTGGGTGCTTGAGGACCGCGTTGGACCTCCTTGGATGCGAAGTGGATCTATTGAAAAGGACCCTGCAGCTCGGCGGGTAGTGGAACATCACTTCCCGGGCACGCTTCACTATTCAGACATCGTCGATGTGACGGAGGTGCAATGGTCGCTCACGTTCGGGCAGGTTGAACTGGTACTCATCGGGGCCGGGCCACCCTGTCAGGGGGTATCAGGTTTGAACAGCCAGAGGAAGGGAGCACTGCGCGATGAGAGATCGTGCCTCTTCATCCACGTTCAGCGTATTGCAAAGCTCATACAGGCCCATTTCCCTTGGGCCCAAACGCACACGCTGATCGAAAGCGTAGCGTCCATGGATGAGAAGGACAAGAACATCATGTCGGACAGCTTCGGGGCTAGTCCCTGGCAATGTGACGCAGGAACTTTGACATGGTGCAATCGACCACGATTGTATTGGGTAACTTGGGAGATCAGTGAGGGCGATCCGGGTGTGGCGATTCAAAGTCGCATATATGGGAGAAATCGGTTGAGGCTGGATGGATGAAAGTCGACGCCGCCCAAGCATTTCCTACTTTCACGACCTCGAGGCCGCGGACGTCGCGGGGACACCGCCCTGCGGGCCTTAGTGCCTGTGATGAGGAGACAGTGAGGCGATGGGAACAAGATAAACATCGCTTTCCCCCATACCAATATCTACCTCGCCATTGCCCACAAAACCGCAAAGGGGAATATCGGTTGCCATCCATTCAAGAAAGGGAGTACATGATGGGACTACCAGTGGGATACACCCAGATGTGTTTTCCGAAGTCCCAGCGGAGGAAAGAGGAGTACCTGGTTGGCAATGCTTGGTCTGTACCGGTAGTGACGTGGTTGATCGGGCAACTGCTTGGCCCTCGGGGATTTTGCCCTGCTTTATCACCAGCCGAGGTATTGGACCGCTTGGACGTTGAAGGAAATCCCTACATCCAGTCACGGTTGATGCGACCGCCTCTCCGGCCGGACCTTCATCCGGACGAAACTTCAGAACAGCGTTTGGTCCAGCAGCTGGGGCGCTTAGTCTCCACAAAAGGGTCACATGAGATCTGACCAGTACACCGGATGAGATCCAAGGACATCAACGTCTACGCCATACGGTGAATCCTAAGATGTGGAAATGGAAGGTGGTCTCAGGGTGGAAATGGCGGGGACGGGGTGAACATATAAATTCCCTGGAACTACGTGCATCCCTGGCGTGCCTTCGATGGCGTTTGGAGCATCTGCAGAATCATGACTGCCGAATCCTACACCTTACAGATTCCTTGGTATGCCTGCACAGTATGACCAGAGGACGGACGTCAAGCAGACGACTGAGGAGAACGCTTTGCCGGATCAATTCGCTCTTGCTAGCTCACAATGTGGTTGGTTTATGGGGGTACGTGAGTACCGACCTCAACCCGGCGGATCGTCCGTCGCGGTGGGCGGTACGGACCAAATTTCGCCATGCCAAAAACACTCTTTGAAGGACTAGCAGAGCAAGAGATAGGCAAAAGCTCGGTACACTTCGTCAGCTCACTGTGCAACCGTCCACTCGCCTCCGGTATGACAAGGCACTAAACCGGTTTCTTTCTTTCCTCAAGGCCGAAGGCCTTCAGCTCCCGACCAAGCGCGAGCAGTTAGACCCTTTGGTCATGGAGTACATAGAGCATCTGTGGTTCTCGGGGGAGGGGCGTGGTCTGGCCGCCAACACCCTGGCTTCTTTACAAGACCACGATGCAAAAATCCGGGGCCATCTCCCGGGAGCCTGGAGATTGGTCAAGACTTGGGTCACGCACGAGCTTCCGAATCGTGCTCCGCCAATACCCGAAGTGGTACTGCATAGCGTGGTAGGATGGGGTCTGTACAATGGGCATTTTGCTTTCGCCACTAGTTTACTGATGTGCTTTTACGGAATGCTGCGAACAGGTGAACTGTTTGATGTGGTTCGCTCAAGAGTAGAAATTTCCACCAAGTTGCGCACAGCTGTAGTGGCCTTAGGCCTTACAAAGGCAGGGAAACGAGCAGGTGTCCAAGAGTCGGTTTCCATTACTCATGATACTGCTTTCCGCTTTGTACAGCACTGGATGAACCTGGCCTCCACCCACCAGAAACTGTGCCCGGGCGCGGCCCGTTGGCGCAAACGGTTTAAATCCTGCATCGAAAGCCTGCATTTGGAGCCCTTGGAACTCAGGCCCTACTCCCTGAGAAGGGGAGGGGCTACATGGTGGTTTTGCCAACATGGCAATCTCGACCGAGTAATGGTCTTGGGTAGGTGGCAGGCCCAGAAGACGGCACGGTTATACCTGAACGAATCCCGTGCAATCCTGGCTGAGATGAAACTTGACCCCTTAGAACGTTTTTTGGCACCTTATCGCACTTTTTCAAGAACTCAGATCCTCGTACCTTTGAAACACTTGAGCCGTTGCCAAGCAACAGGCCGGCCTCTTTTAAACGAGGCCTGGGGGAACGTGGAAACAAACACCCCTCCAAAAGACCAGCTTCAAAGAGAGGGAAAAGGCTGGTAGGTCCCTTGGGGCCTGGCCAGGGCTAGGGGTGTGGCCCGC